CAACCATGTTCTTCACGGTTCGCAGTTCATGAAATGACCTGTTTGGTAGCAGCGAAAGGGGCTGACGTTGGGCTGACCCAAATGACCCAATCTCTCAGGTGTCCCGACATTCATCTGTGAAAATCTACCGGACCAGGATTCCTTTGCTAGTAATTACAAGTGCATCGCTAGTAGTAACAAGTGCCTTACTAGTAGTAACAAGAAGCTAGTAATTACGATTCTAATTAAATTCTTATTGTTACTAGTAATAAGGCACTTGTTCCTAGTAGCAAACATTGTTACTACTAGTAAGGCACCTGTTACTACTAGTAAGGCACTTGTTACTGTTGATGTGATTCACGGTCCAGGATTCTGCACTTTGCACACGTCGTGCACACGTCGTTGGGAGGCACACGACTTCACCAGTCGATGAGAGGTGCACCTTTGGGATCGGTCCCGATGTTCGTTCCCTCTTAGCTTCTTGTTACGAACGTAGGAGCGTCCTTGCTCCTACTAGCGATGCCAGGAGCCCCGAACGTAGCGTCCTTGCTCCATTCATAGCGATGGCCTTTGCTACTAGTAATTAGCTTCTTGTACTGAGGGCCCATGAAATGACAAGTCCAACACCACCACCGTCAACACCATATGCCCCCCCAAAAAATGGCCTGGCCACCGACAGGGGAAGCGCCGCCCTCGAACCAACCCTCGAACCACTCCGTGATGCGGCCTCAACTCTTTGCAGACTGGGAGGCCTCAACTCCTTGCAGACGACTTCTACCGTGCTGGTGAGCGGGTGGCCGCTTGAAACCGGTGTTCCGTCGATCCGCCCGCGGCGGGGCGGCGTTTTCGAGATATGACTGGTCCAACGAAAAGGGCTCTCGTCACCACATCCCGCATCCAAACACCAACAGCAGCCAGCAGTGAAGTGCTGCGACCTTTTGGGATCATTCCCTACTCTTTTCACAAGGTTATTGAAAGTGTGAGACAACCCTTTCCAGTGAAAGTAAGCATGGGTACGCAATCTGAGTTCAATAGAAGTATGTGAAGATCCTGTGGTTCTGAAGGAGTATATGTCAATCTTCAGAGGCACGTATATATGTGTGTGTGTGCGCACCCCTGAGTCTTCAGCGAAGACAGCTATAATATGACATTCTGTGATATCGCTGGAGACGTCCAGTGACGTACTTGCGTTTTGGCTTTTACTCCCCACTTGGTCCCGTTCCTAACCTGGAACAAGAACTTTGGCCTTTGCATCGATTTGCTCACTGCAGTCACGCTGCGAGCAACTGTGGGGCCGTTGAGACCTTTGGGATGCTTCTCATGGCCGCACTCGTTTGCACTCACTTTTTTCACCTACACTTCCGTGTGGCATGTGGCATTCGGATCGTAGGTACTGTCTCCCAAGTGTGCGCCTCAACCTCCATGTCCAGGATTAGTCTCACTTGCCTGCGGCTTTTGCCGGAATTTCTTGCGGCGGCAGTGGGGCAGTTGTGAGTTTTACTTGGACCCATGAAGGCAGACTCTGAGCCGGCGAAGCAAGAAGGGACACCCTCCTTAATCAAGCACTTGCATTTTTCTGGATGGCTGAGTGGCTGAGATCGATGATTCTGAGATCGATTGTCTTTGTCTCCTCCACTTGTGAGATCTGTTTCTCAGGGATGCTGGTCGGCTTGTGTCTTTTCTCTGGTGTGGTTAACTAGCAGCAGCAAAGAGCTGATGCATCGCTGCGAGTCTGAGGACTAGGTCTGCAGAGGGTGTCAATCTGAAGTATGTCCACCGCCGTATCTTCCCAGTGGGGGTATCACATGGTGTGAGCCCTGTGACAGGCTCCGATCTTGGTTTCTTTTTTTGCAAGTTGTTTCATCGATTCACCACAACCAGGCATCAGGTCAGGATTCATCTGCGCCATTGAAAGGACCGACTTCTGATCGATGCATCGATGTGGACGTCGCCCGCTGCGCAGCCCGGACGGATGGTCTTCGACCCTTTGCCGTCTCCCGTTGACAGGTGGCCGAGGGGTCGTTCTGAAACCCAAAAACAGTACAACGACCGTTGGAAAGTGCTGAGTTGCTGAGGGGGGTGTTGCTGAAGTTGCCCTCTACTGTCTGAAGTGTGTGTGTGACCTCTCATATGTGCGCTCGTTGATGTGTGCTCTCAAACCACTCACAAGAGTGCTCGCATCCGCATATGTGTGTTTTCGGGTGTGTCCTGCCGTGTGTGCTCTCTCATCACTGTGCTCCTCCCGGGCAAGTGCCCTCATATGTGTGTGTGCTCACTCTCACCTGTTTGTTCTCATGTGTGTTCTCGCGTCGGTGTACGTGTGTGTTCACTGTCCATGTGCTCTCATACTTGTCTTCCTGTTTGGGGTCTCTTGTCAAGAGAACCTGGCTGGCTGACGCTATCTCTCTTTTGGCCAGCTTATGGTCCGGTGGAGCCAGGGTCGACCCTGCGCCTTTGCAGAAAGCTACCCTTGCCGTCACCATTAGAATCTGCACACACTTTCCAAGTTCTAGCTCTCAGCAAAAAGCCGCCTTTGTCACACCTTTTCCCGATTTCGGTCGGTTACGCCAGGTACAGCCAGCAGCCTGGATGTCCAGCGAGCACGTAGCACGTGTTTCATCGTTTTAGAAAGAGATCTCAGGACCCTAAACCGAAGGTCCAAGGGCACGCTCTTTCTCAGGAGTTTGTGTCCCTTCCTCTTCTGTGAGGAGCAGACCCCAACGGTCCCAACGAAAAGACACATCATCACCGCATTTTGCACAACAACCTCACCACTCACGCCCATCACACACGCACAACGTTCCAATCATTTCCAATGGGATTGTTTGAACATTGCGCCCACGAGTTGTGCTGCAGGATTGTGCCTCAAAACCTTCGGACAGCACGTTGCAGATAGCCGTGACGGATGTGGTAAGCCGACCTCCGAACATGAGCACTTGCAAAGTTTTGGAACCAAAAGCGTCCCAACGCAGCGACACCACACAGTAAAGAAAAATGTCAAAAAGTTATTGCTACTAGCGTGGCACTTGTTTCTATTAGCTTCTTGTTACTACTAGTAAGGCACCTGTTCCTACTAGCGTGGCACCTTGTTTCTAGTAGTAAAAGACAAGTGTTGACCGTGTCGTCACACTTGTCCCCATGACATCGTCTTGGACCCCTGCAACACCGAGGTCGATGGTAGGCCCCAACACAGCGATGGTCGGGCGGGTTAGCTCGTGGTAAGTTGTGTGGATGTGGATCCTTGTTTTCCTCTCCCCACTGGTCTTTGGTCTTTGGGAGATGTCCATTTTCCCATGAAAAACTCGTCCACCACGTCGAATCTGCATCCAGGTTGCATCTCCGCTTGCATCTCATTGGCAAGAGATGGATCCCCCCCGTTGCAAGAAGCGATTTGCCTTGATACTTCACTTCAGCCAAGGTCTACTGCAAGAACATGGAGGCCCTAGGGGGCTTGGCCACAGTGACCTGGGCGGAGAAACTGCCCGAGTCGTTTCGAATAGTTCATGGCAGATTCGAGGTGGTCTTCCCGAATTGATGTCTTTGATGAAAACACCACCCTGATGGCCTTGGCGTCCATCAAATACTCGGCCCAAGTTTGGGTGATTTGAATTGTGAATCTGGGTCATACCAAAACGGAGCATGTGGACACGTCAATGAACCGCTATGACTGAGGGAGATTCAGATTTTTTCTAGTGCGATATGCTTGTAAATCACGAAAGCTAGCACCAGCTAGCTGGAGTTGTCCTTGCTTTAGCAAGTGAGGGGCTGGAGATCGCCGCATCACGTGAAAACTTCATATGTAGGGGGGGCCCCCCCCCGTCCCCCCCCCCCGGATGGGCCACGAGCCCCCTGGGACGCCTCTGGGACACCTCTCGGGCACCTCTTATGGCATCCACTTTGGTTTAACTCCTCCGGGATACGGTGCAACAGATTCAACAAGCTCACAGGTTCGTAAACACATCGGATGCATCGAATAGTGTGGCAAAGTCCAGCCACGCTTCCTTAATTATCGGGGACTTCAATTCTAAGGTTGGCTGTGTCATTGCTGTTTGTGTGTCTTACATGTTCACAACGTTTTACCTCATGAGCATTTGCCTCAATCCGCTTGATGTCCCACCAGTCCGGATGCACACCTGCTAGCTTTCGTCACCTACCCTCGGCCTCAAGTTGGCTTTCTGCACGTGATTGTGACATCGATGTAAGTTGAATGAGCCCAGGGATCTCTATGTTGTTTCTCTCTCTCTCTCTCTCTCTGTCTCTCTCTCTCTCTCTCTCTCGTTCGTTCGACAAATAATGTTACTGATCTTCAGATGAAGGAAGGCCCAAAAATAGTGGCTTTGCTGCGTTTTCTCGGTCGGGGTGGCACCCATACCTCCCTTTGGAAAGAGCCCCAAGACTTCGCCACGATCGATCGGTTCGCAACCAGACTTCGATCGGTTCGGATGCGAAAACGACATGAAACGACGTTTGCGACGTCGGTCCAGACCTTCAAGACGTTGCGACGTTGGATTTGAGGGTCCATTTGTTAGCATCTGTTAGCACCAGTTCCTGCAAGTACGGAAAGTACAACGGCAGGAAATCAAACAGGTTGCAAACCCATGCAAGCTCCAATACGATGCAACTAAGATGAGAGCATGTGAGAGTTTTGCTCTCAAGGAGCTCCGTTCGTAGCGATGCCCTTTGCTACTACTAGCGTCCTTGTTCCTAGTAGTAAGGCCAGGATCCCCTAGTAGCGTCAAAGACCACAATACTTATTGTTACACTGTATGCTGTATATAGGTCGGCCGTAGATACTGTACATGTTTCCCAGACCCTTTGAGGGGTGGAGTTTAGAGTTTGGAGCTTGACTGGAATCCAAGTTGTCCCTTGTGGTCAGATGCCTCTTCCTGGTGTTCTTTTTGGAGATCCGTTATTGATAATATCTTTCAAACAACTGCAGCTTAGACTTTAAGATCATTAACCTCGCGTGGTCTTTCTTGTTGGCCCCCAAAACCTGGTGGTCCTGCGTATCACCCCTACCATCCGCACACTCCAGTTTCACACCCATGGGCAGATGGCCATCTGCCCGGCACAGCGCGTTTGGCGCCATGTCATTGGCCTCCTTTGCCTGCAACCCACCTGGCCTGCGTCGACGGTGTCCACCGACTGGCTCGACGGTCGGTGTGCACCCCATGCAGCGCTGCTGCCGCCGGAGGTGCGGTGCCACGGGCGTTCGAAAAGGCCATCGTGCCACGCGCCGGTCACAAGAGAAGCGAATCTGGGAGGCCATGGCTGCGGGTAGCGATGGCCTCCAATCTCATTGCACAAGGAACCTACTAGCATCTAAGAACGATGGCCTCCAACCTACTACTGATCCGTTGATCCTGTGTAAGTATAGCAAAGCTCGGAGGAGCCACCACCATGAACGTCTCCAGGCATGCGCTCCACGCGCCTTCCCAGAGCAGTGTGCGACGCGCACGCCCGTGGATAGCTCCTGGGTGTGGCCCGGACGCAACTGGTGCTGGGTGGCCACGAAGCGCCACGCCTGCTATGGGCATCACACCTGGGAGGAGGCAGCAGAGGTGGCTGAAAAGGAGATGGAGGTGGTCAAGGCCACTGAGGCGGGAAGTGCCACCAGAACAGCTGAGCACCATGGAGCAAAAGGATGTTGATCAGCTTCTTGTTCCTAGCATCATGTGGGATCACTGACAAAAGACGACACATGACAACCAGTGATAGTGTTTAAACAAGTAGTCTTTAAGGTTTGGTAAGTTCAGTGGTTATTGACTGATTTTTAAAACCAGCTCTTTAAAACCTATAGTCTATAAGTAAGTTGCAGATGTGCGCAAGTCTGAATGTTTAGTTCAAAAAATCTTTATTTTTTACATGTTGAATATGTTTCTTAAATATACATGTTTGACATTTTTGTACCTTAAAATATTTTTTGTATGGTTTATATTTTTAAAATCTAGCTCAAAACCCTGTATATCTAAACCCTGCAGTTCTGCACCTGGAAAATTGTTCAATGATAATAGCAAACATTGCTCCGTTCGTAGTACGGCCAGGAGCCCCGTTCGTAAGCGAACCTTGTTACTGCCAAGAGTCCTCCCTCGGGTCGAAAAGTTCTCTCCGAGAAGTCGAAGCCAACAAGTTCAGCTCCACGAACTGAACCGAGACGGAACGAATCCCTTCCGAGTCTGACATCGAAAACACCCAGAGAAGCCCAAGAGTCATCCTATGTCATAAATCGTGAAACTCCACAAGTGCTCTTATGACGTGTCTTTAAACACTGAGGCTCCATGTATGACACAGTTGCCTATGTGGCCATGTCTGCTCATTATTGACGGAGGCCATGTAGTTGATTTTTGGCTACCGTCAAAGCCCCACAGTCTCGGAGGTCTCGAAACGGCATCACCCAGCGTGACCCAGTGTGACCGGAATCATGACAGGGTCTGTAGATAAAAATTTGCATACATGTGGTCACGTGTAGTCAAAAAACGCATAGAAAGTCTCGGACGTCTTGCGTGACCCGGTGTGACCTATCAGAGAGAGAAAGAAGCTCAAAAACGGCTGATGGTGATTTTTACAAACGGAGCGTTTCTCAGCGTCAATGTTATCCAAACAGAAACACATTATCGATGTCAATTAGTATTGCGGACATTGGTGCCTATGGGTTTAAACATATTGGGTTGGAGGCATCGCTCTTAGGTTAGAGGCCATCGCTTTTATGGCATGTCTTTAAAGCCACCACTCTTCCAGCTTTTCATATCCAGGGTGACGTGCCGCTGCGGCGCCCGGAGCTTTGCGACGTGCGCGCGCACGGGCGGCCATTGAAGCCGAACGAGACGGCGTCAGTGCAGCAAAGGACCAGCTTTCGCATCGAGGTGGAGAGCAGATGAGAGCAGTGGGGATTGGACCGTGACCGAAAAGATGTTTTGCATCCCTACCCACCTGGGAATGTCCCCTGAATACGTTGCTTTGCGATGTTTGTTGGGAAAAGGACAGACAGGGCACTGACATTTTTATGGAATCCCATGGAGTATTTGGTCGTTTGTTGTCTTGGTCGTTGGGGAGGAAGTTCGGGCAGAGCTTCCCGGTGTTCGATGCGTTTGGGTACCGACGGTACCGTCCACACGAACATCCCCAGATCCGAAGTTTGTGGACCAAACCAAACCTGAAGATGCTTACAGCATGTCTGTGAGCTGATTGCCTTGCATCTTTTCCCAGGTCCACAGAAGTACAGCACATCAAGAGCATTTTTACATGTCGTTGGTGAAGAGAAGCCACGACAACTTGATCAACTTGCAATTTGCGCGCAACAGCCCGCAACATATTGCTACAGACATTCAGACATGATTTCCTTTACTTTTCAAAAGGAAGAGCGTTTACCACATGTTCCTTTCCAGGGGCTGGAAAGAGGGGCTCTGTTTGTTGTCACAGTTTTCTTTCACAAACGCTCGTGTTTTTCTACGTGCTCGCACCACGCGAGAGTCACGAGGCGGCAGAGGCCAGCTTTTGGTTCGTGCCGCGGCGGACAAGTAGCGTCATTTGTGACGCGTCACACGTGGAGGTCGGGGGTTGTGTGGAGAAAACAAAGAAAAGCTCCGTTCGTAGCGTCCTTGCTCCTAGTAGTATGGCCAGGAGCCCCTAGTAGCTTCTTCTTACACCAAATTCCAAGTGGCGGATCTGTTGGAGATTGGCGAGGGTCATCATTCCAGCTGGATGAACAGATGGGTCCGTTGGTCTGGTTTCAATCCGCACCGAGTCGGGCGCTCCCAGAGTGACCATCGCCGTGGAATCCTCCGGCGATTTGGCTCGAGCTCACGCAGGCGCCTTCGCCGGGTCGCAGTCCGTAGGGCCGTAGGGTACCTCCTGAGGACGTACGCACGCAATCGCAGGTCCGGACGAAAATACCAACTCATCATAACTCAGCCATCTCCAACCTGAATGGCAAACCATATTAGACAATTCTTCCTTTTCTATGTTCTTTGTTTCTAATAGCGACGCCTCCAAAAAGAACATCCTCAAGAGGTATCGCTCGACCCTCGGCAATGACCGCTCCATTGCTTTGGCGCATCGTGGCGGGTCTCGGCACCTTCGTTTGCTGCATCGGTGGTCCAGCTGTCGCGATCTTCGTCGGGGCTACGCGTCCGGAAGCACCTAAGCTACGGCCGGGAGAAGTGTCCATTGCGATTCTTCTTTCAGGCAAGTACTTCCACCACATGTCGGTCCGTTGGTAAGTCTTAGGGTGTTCCAGGGATGAAAACACCATCTTTTGAGGGGTTGGTTTGTGTTTTGCGGCGCTTTACGTCGTTACCTTATGAAAATAGCAGACAGTCATAGCACTTGGACGAGATATTGGGTGCAGGTTTCTGTTCAGTGACCGTTGTTTGTCCCCTCTCCAGGTTCTGGTTGCTTGCTGTGTTTCGTGGCCTCGGTCATCATTGCTTGTTACAATGGGAACGACTACACCGGCGATCCATTTGATCCCCAGCCAGTGCAAGAGGAGCCGGTCACAGACACACGAACGCCCGAGATCATTGGGGTCGCGGAAAAGGAGGCCGCCGTGTGACTGCCCAAAGATGGCTTAAGCTTGCGAATGCACCGCCATCTCTGAGGGATTGGAGAGATGCGTTTGAATTAGATGCCATGGAACTGGCAAGAGGAATTTCTGCTTCCCATGGCCAACATGTCCATGTGCAAGAGTTCTATTCTCAGATTCAACGAAGGCCCTCAACGCAGGCTTTCTCCTCAACACTGTAAGACACCGCTGTGCAAGCCTTCTTATTGGCCAAATACATACACCAAACAGCGGCTTGGGCTGGTGGCCAGCGGCTACCAGAGCGTTTAGAGGAAGTCAGGCTTTGCCCTGCTGGATTTTGCCGCAATTGATTCGCAAACACCATGCAATATTAAGAGGATCGAAAGGTCCAGATTTCGCTCAACACCCGCCCCTTCATCCACAGTCGCGAAGAAGGTCACATCAACAAGCAACTGGCCCTTTTTGAGGAGCGTGCACAGATGGATCAAGCCAAACATATGTCATCGGCGAAATCGCCGATGAGATGAAACGTGCGATCTCGCAAAAGCTCGCCGCAAAAGCTCGCAGGGATGGCACGGGCTCGTATCCGTTCCAGGGTTTCATGCTCGTTATGCCAAGAGAGGCGAACATGTGTTTGCTGTTCCTAGATTCTAGAGGTTTCTCTTTCTCTTGCAGGTTGCATGTGGCATTCCGGCTGCATTTAGGGCCTGTGCGTTTGGTGTGCCTCTGCTGTTGCTGTCCTAGCTGCAGGACACACTTGGGGTGGGAACAACGTGGCACACGCTTGTTGGTTGAAGCTGGCGGTTTTCCCAAAAGTATAGTGTGGTAGTGTGCTGCATTGCAACAAACTGAAGAGCCTTTCAATCCGTGAGTCAGTGGTGTCATCATCCCTAGTTTCCATGACCCCCCAAAGTCGTACCAACTCTTCACATTCATAGGCTTCATGTTCCTCATTGATGAACTTTGCTTGGGCCGTCCCTTGACAATTCACCTTCCACAAACAAGATCCGAACTACCTTCTTGCATTTTCTTGTGGATCTATCCTTTAATGTCATATTGTATATATATATAATATATACATATATGGACATCCTTACACATCCCTAGACCAAGAGCATTTAGCAAGTATACGTCTCGAGGAAAAGACATTCAACGGTGAAAAGGACCTGGGCCACCAGAGCTTGGTGGTTCCCGAACATGATCCTTTTCTTCCGCGATCGCTACCAGGGTGGAGGCGGAACCCAATCCGAACCGGCTCGACTTCGGGTGGTATGAAGTCGAAGGTCGGCGAGGGAGGGCGGGTGAGTCAGTAGCGGTGCACTTGTTCCTAATAGCTTCTTGTTACTACTAGTAAGGCACTTGTTACTAGTAGCGATGCACTTGTTCCTAGTAGCTTCCGGCCCGTACGAGGTGGGTCAGGGGATTTCTTCCTGGGTGGTGCAGTCAGCGCAAGGCGTCTCAAAGGGTGGTGTTGTGAACGAGTAGACTTGACTCCCACCCTACTAGCGATGGCCTCCAAGCATGAAGCAAGAAGACGGAAGCAACTGATCATTGGAAGAATTTGGAAAGCCTAGTTGAAGTAGTCGCAGATCACTGACAGAAATCAACTCTCCCCGCTAGAAAAAAAACAGGTGGAACTAAACTGACCTCCGTGTTCTCCATGTTCTCCTTTCTTTTGGGCCCAAAACCACGACACCTCTTTCTGGCCCCCCAAAAAAAACAGAAAGGACCCACCGCCTCCGCGCCCGCCGCGTGCGGCGCCTGAGCCGAGGATCGGAACGTGGCGGTCTACGTGGTGAGCCTGCCCAGCGCTGTTCTCCGATGGAACCGGATGCAGCAGAGGCTCCAGGAGCGACGCTTCGCTTGGCCGTGCTAGACTGGCAAAGCGAAGCCCTAGGTGTGCTTAGACGAGATGACCACATCCATGTCCGTTTTACAAGTTAGATATAAAGGTAATTATGGGTACAAGGATTGAATGGTTGTTGAAAAGAGGAGAAGATGGGTCCCGGAATGTCCCAGAGTACTCTAGGTGAACGGTTTCAAGATGCAGCTGCTAGAATAAAAATATACCAGCGTTGACCCCAAACAGTTTGTTTGGTCCAAGTCCAAACTCATTTTGCGAATTGGTATTGGCAATGTAGGCGTCAGGCACCAAATCATTGCCGCGGCGTTTGATTTCAACAACACAAGCAATCCCTTGCTGAATCTTTAAAGACACAAATCCGCCAAAAGTTGTGTCGGCGCCCTGGAGTTTTCTTCCCTTTCAATAATTCTGCTAAATTCCTGAGCCAGGCAGTTCCTGAGCCGGGCGAGTGTAGAGAAAGAGCAAAATCATGCGGCCAGAGCACCCACAAGGAACTGGAGACAATGGGAGACAAGTGGGAGACATGTAGGTGTTAAAATCACGCGGCCAAAGCACCCACAGGAGACCGGAAACAGTGGGGCACGCAGCGAACTGGAGACAGTGGGGCACAAGTGGGAAACACGTGTAAAATCATGTGGCCACAGCGAGCACAGTGTGGCAGGAACGCAAGCCCGGAGACAAATGTAAAATCATGCGGCCCGGTCATGCACCCCTTTCAAAGGAGTAAGAACCCCTCACAGGTAGACCTGTTTGGTGAATTATAGGACCGAATAACCCCACATGTTAACAACTTCACCAGACACAGGAGCGGACAATTGGTGGTTGGTGGGTGGCAATTGGTTGGTGGCAATTTCTTGGTGGCAGTTTGTTGGTGGCAGTCTGTGGGTGCAGTCTGTTGGTGGCAGTTGGTTGGTGGCAACTGGTTGGTGGCAACTGGTTGGTGGAAGTTTGTTGGTGACAATTGGTGGGCGGCATCTGGTTGGTGACAACTGGTTGGTGACAATTGGTTGGTAGCAAGTGGTGGGTGGCAATTGGTCGGTGACAATTGGTGGTTGATGACAATTGGTTAGTGACAATTGGTGGGTGGCACTTGGTTGATGACAACTGGTTGGTGACAACTAGTTGGTAGCAATTGGTTGGTAGCAATTGGTGGGTGGCAATTGGTTAGTTGGTTGGTGACAATTGGTGGGTAGCAATTGGTTGGTGGAAGTTTGTTGGTGGCAGCTGGCTGGTGACAGTTGGTGGTGACAATTAGTTGGTGGCAACTAGTTGGTAGCAATTGGTTGGAAGTACTGTGCCTGCGACGCAAATCACAGCGGCACAGCGGCAGAGACCCAGCAGCCCCGGCCAGCGCCAGGGCGTACATCCAACCCCCTGGAGAAGACAATTGGTGGCAATTGGTTGGTAGCAAGTGGCTGGAGAACACCTAAGTACGGCACCTGCCACGCAAATCACAGCGGCACAGCGGCGGAGACCCAGCAGCCCCGGCCAGCACCGGAGCGTACATCCGACCCCCTGGAGAAGACAATTGGCGGATGGCAATTGGTTGGTAGAATATTGGTTGGTGACTCGTTGGTGACATTTGGTTGGGGACAATTGGTTGATGACAATCGGTTGATGACATTGGTTGGTGACAATTGGTGGGCGGCAGTTGGTTGATGAGAAATGGTTCATGACAATCGGTGGATGACAAGTGGTTGGTGACATTTTGTTGGTGACAATTTGTTGGTGGCAATTGGTAGCAGTTGGTGGGTGACAATGATAGTTGGTGGCAATTGGTTGGTGACAAGTGGTTGATGACAATCGGTTGGCGACATTGGTTGGTGACAATTGGTGGGTGGCAATTGGTTGGTGACCAGTGGTTGGTGGCAATTGGTTGGTGAGAATTGGTTGGTGGTAATGGTTGGTGGCAATTGGTGGGGAGGAGGGGAAGGAGACAAAAAACCCACACGTCAATGTGGGGAAAAACACGAGTTGGTGTTCCTTTGCTGGGACCACCGACTCTCATCCACCGAAGTCTTCCGGCTTCGTCCAAATGGACCGCACCGTTTCAGACCCGTTCACTTCACTCCCGAGCCCAAGACGAGAGGGGCGGCCTGGCCCGGCCATCTGGTCAATAGATGATGTGAAGACGAACTAGACGACAACCAGTCTAGAGTATAGGTGCATCGCTACTAGCCCCTAATTTTTTGTCTCTAGAAGCTTCTAGCTACTAGTAGTAGCGATGCCCTTGTCACTCGTGAATCAACGTTTATGTCTTTCCAAATTGGGAGACTGAAAAGGAGCCTTTCAAGGGCCCCTCTTCAATCTGACGTGATTCTCTTCAGCTTCCAAGTTCGGTTGGTGTTCAGATCCCACCAGGTGGAGAATGGGAACCTCATAGAACCGGAAAGACATGTTTCATGCATCCGAAACATCAGTGTCAAGCAACAATCTTGCTTTGCTCTTGCAAATCTCTCCATGCCAACGATGTCACAACGCTCCAATCCACATCAAAACAGCTTGACTCCCCGTGCGTCTTGGAAGGTTTTTGACATGCTGTGTGACTGCGCCTGATGTCCTCAAGCACATTGGACATGGAATGGCTGCGTGGGGCTGACGAGTTGTTTGTCCCTTGATGTTCGCCTCAGAGACCAAACCAGGTGTCGTTCCCCTGATCCAGCGCGTGGCAAGTAGCGCCAGACGCTCCGGCATAGCCGCAGTTTCACGCATTTTTTAACGTAGAACCAGGTCTAGTATGGGATACGCTGGCGGAATTCTTCGATTTTTCCCGTTCTCCATGGTTGACCAGCGATGGCCTCCGACCTGCTAGCGATGGCCTCCAACCTACCAGCAATGGCCCCCAACAATGGCCTCCAACCTGCCAGCGATGGTCTCCAACCTGCTAGCGATGGCCTCCAACCTACTAGCGTTGGCCTGCAACTACTACGCATGGCCGCCAACCTAATACCGATGGCCTCCAACCTATAATGGTGATTGCCTCCAACCTCACAGCTTGGCAAAGACCATAGATATCTCTTGCTGTTGCTGGGATTTCTGACGTCCTAGCTTGCAAGGAGCTCGAGATCAACGTCCAGCGCGTGGATGGAATTGACTTGGCATCCGCCTCCGGATTGGAGGCGGCAAAGAAGGCCCGGAGAAAAACCGTTGAACCCGATCAGGGGAAGTGAGTCAAGTAGGCTACAAGCTGAAGGCCTTTTTTGGTGGACTCGGGCCGTGGAGATTGGCTTGTGTAACGGCGCTGGGGAAGCCTCGGCCCGCCATGGGCTGGTGCACTTGTTCATGAGCGCCTCACGCAGTTGGCATTGAAACGTTGACGCTAATCTCACACACACACACAGCTCCATTCATGTAAGTCAGTGTTGGGCCAATTGGGGACGTTTGCAGTGGCACAATATTTTTTTGAATACGCCCAACAAGAGCGGCGCTCACATCAATCTGATGAGCTCGGGTCACACAGTGTGCGATCGCTGCTGGGGACGCACACCCAGCAGGGTCGAAAGCGTTTGAGGGCAAGCCACTTAGAGTCAAAGTGCATGACACTGAGACGATGAGCTGATGTGTCCTTGACGGAGTCCGTCAACACTCGCTGTACGCGGCAGATGGCCAAAATGGAGGCCAAGCCGGACATGGGTTCTACCTGGACCTCGACAAGTCGCGAACTCCATGGGCTTCGGTTTTCGCTCGCTTCGCCAGGAAGGGCTGGTGCCCTTTGGGTGGAACTATACCGCGGCCAAGGACCGAAACGGGCCGGACTCAAACCACGGGCATAACATGGGGCGACACGCGCGGGCGCGAGGTCACAGAATAAGAAACCAAATTGCAAAAGGAACCTCCACCCTACTAGCGATGGCCTCCGCCCTATAGTAGCGATGGCCACCTCTACTAGGGATCGCCTCCACCCTACTAACGATGGTCTCCACCCTACTAGCGATGGCCTCCACCCTACTAACGATGGCCTCCACCCTAGTAGCGATGGCCTTTACCCTAGTACTAATTGGTCCGTTTCAACTTGTAAGTTAGATCAGATATGTCTACAGTATACTACAATTAGCTTCTAAGCTGATCAAGTTTACTAGTAACTTTTTGTAAATATGACAACTATATAAGTAGCGCAAGTATCAGTATAACTATGACACTTAAGATACTTAGCAATAACTTATGTAATCACCCTAGCAACTACTTAAAGGTTACTTAGCCTACTTAGCGGCACATATTTTTCAAAAAACAACATTTGTTTGCTACCCATGTTCTTGAGGATTTCCTCATTTATACATCAGTTTTTTATAAATGTATATACCTCCAGCCCGTGGGTGGAGGCGGAGGCGGCGCAACCCAAAGAGGCTGTGATGTAATAGGGAGACTCACTTGCACTGCGGGCACTGCGGGCGGGGATGGCGTGTATAGAGAAGAGTTTCCTGGGGAAACCTGTATAGTGAGGGAACAGTTTCTTGCGGGAAGCTGGCGGGAGGTGCCTGTAGCGAGGCAGCTGGCGAGGGCGGGCACAGCTTCCCGCGGGAAGCTAGCAGAAGAGACAGCCAACGCACAGCGAGCGGACGCTGTTTGGCTTATATACAGCAGGCCAGCGCAGACGGGCTGCGGACGTCTGACTTGCGGTGCAGACGGTGTTAGCATGGACATTCCTGTGGGGGATGCCGTCGAGCAGCCGCATATATGGACCTGCGCACGGGGATGCTATCGAGCGGCCACTTGCGAACGCCGGAAATCCACGTGGTGGTCGGGATCCCTGCTTGGGATGCCCGCGGTTGGAATATACACCTGTGGGTATATAGGATGCGCCTGTGCGAACACCCCTCTTGCAGTCTGAGACGCCTATAGTAGGCGGCGGGCACTCGAGCGCAAAGCAGAGAAACCCGGACTCGCAGCTGTGGAAAACGAAGAGTTGCGCATGTTGCCTCTGAACATCTGGTCCTCATTTGCGTATTACATATCAGACCCTGCAGGTCCGGTCTGGGACCGCCGCGCATGGTGGCACAACACGGAGCGCGCCAGGCCGCCGTCCGGCGTGAGAAAGAGATCTGGCGGCGCCGGACCGCGGTCGGCGCCCGCAGAGTCCTGCACGGACGCTTTGCTCTACGCAGGCGACGCAAGCAGAAGCGAGTGAGTTGCATGTCGACAGGAGGCGTCCGTCGACATTGTACAACGAATGCACGCCTGGACCTGCTACTTGCCTGGTTCCTGGCCACGTTTCCACTGCGCCGCAATATATACGGCCAAGGTGGACACCTTTGCAAGTGCCAAACGGCACTCTTGGACAACACGTACACCGCGGAAGAGATTGCCGCGGAAATTGTGTCTTTGCGCGCGCCGCATATTTTTTTCCTAGCACGCACGTGAAAAAACATATATTTTTTGCCTCAAACATTGAAATTTCCAAACTACAAAAATGCCCGTCTACTTGCAACCTACTTAGTAGGCATGACTCATGTAGCAAACTTGCGCTACTTATTAAGTCATGCCGTAAGTAACAATACTCATATGCTAACTACCACAAGTCGAAACGGACCTATTAGTAGCGATGGTCTCCACCCTACTAGCAGCGGTGGCCTCCCCTACTATAAGTATGGCCTCCACCTTACTAACGATGGTCTCCACCCTACTAGCGATGGCCTCCAGCCTAGTAGCGATGGCCTCCACCCTACTAGTGATGGCCTCCACCCTACTATAGCGATGGCCTCCAACCTAATTGCGAGAAATCACAGATCGTTTTGGTGTCCGGTGTCCTGGCTGGAGGTCCTCAGCAAGTGTGGGTGTAGTCCGACCAAGACCCAGGCGCAGGATGCTCCTAGTGCTCTATATATGTTTCCCTTTGGGGATCTTTCTTTTTGTCAAAACCAACTCCGAGATTCGCGCCCAGTTTGGGTGTTCCGGTGTTCGTCAGGCCGCCTCGGGCGTTTCGGAAGGAGACGATGGTCAGACTCCTGCAGAAGAGCAGCAAATCAGCTGCAGAGAGGTGGGGAAAGCCGCTTTGCGCGCTGCCCAAACGAAGTCCAGCTCAGACTCGGGTCACTTTAAAGACCGCTTGGTTCTACTTGGTTTGAAGGCCATCGCTGGTAGCTTGGAGGCCATCGCTATTAGCTTGGAGGCCATCGGAGTTGGAGGAGCCAATGATGTAGCACTGGTGATTTGACCCAAAGGTGACTCTCTCTTCAAGTCGCCTTGGACTCCCAGGGTTGTGCAAATTGGATTCGACCCTCGTTTTTCAGCAGCAGCTTCGGCACACGTCTTTCCTTAGATCGATGCTCATCAGTCCATGGGGGGTCAATTATGGAGCTGACACAGCATGTTTAGATGTCGATAGCCTGCGTTGCGTTTGGTCATGTTCAAAACCCTAAAAAAAACTCTACAGTAGGTTGGAGGCCATCACTACTAGGGTGGAGGCCATTGCAATTAGGTTCCTTTTGCTATTCGATTGAACGCTTCGCAAATCATGACCATCAACGCTCGTTCGCTCGTTCACTCACCCACGCTTCGCGCTTGGAGTGCCAATGGAACAGTCACTGTGTCCTATTATACCATGAACCTTCTTAGAACTTCATATGGGTATGAGATGTTATGAGTATGAGGCCAGGTTCCACAAAATCCAGGAGGGTGACAGGTTGTGAGACGTCGAAAGCTCCATAAACACAAACCCGAGATCCAAACACAAGCTTCCTCTTGCTCCGTTCGTAGTAATGCCAGGAGCTCCGTTTTTTCAGCATCCTTGCTAGTAGCGATGCCCGTTTGTTCCATTCGTAGTTCACGCGCGATCCAAAGCGGAAGGTACCTGGAGAACTACGGTTTGGGCACCGTGGGCTGCGCTGCCGCACATCTGCGGGCACTCTGGACAGCTGCCAGTGCTTGGCATGCGCGGAAGCCCCTGGCGACGTGGCGAAGACATGGCGAGGGAAAACAGGTCACCATGTCATGCAGGATCAGCAGATCCCAAGCGGATGAAAGCTGGTCGCCAGCTGGTTTGGATGCACGGTTGAGGGTAGGAAAGCTTATTCCTGAAATGAACGGGAAGCATTGGGAGGGGTAAAAAGGGCCGGGTAGGATTCAGAGACGGCTGAGAGGCTTGAAACAATGGTTTGTCAGGTGGCCAAATTTTTCGTGACACTGGTTCGCCACGATTTCTCCGTCTGCGCGACGGCGCAGCAGTTTCTCCACGGTGTCTCCACGGTTTCTCCTCCACTTGGCTCACCGACTGGGCCCAGTTGGCTCGGTTCCTTTTTTCTCGGTTCCTCGTTGGCTGCAAGAAGTGCTCGGGCGGCTCCATGTCAAGCGAGCGGTGTTTTTTGGGGGGGAGAACCCTGACATGATAGGATAGGCCGGCCTCCTGGCGAATGATACTTTTTTGATTCCATTTGATTCCCTTAATAATGTGTCTTGATACCCTTGGCCTGGTATCCAAGAGAAGAGGTTGAAGAACCCTAGCTCGAGTATCCCCAAAAGGTCCGAACGCCCAGGTGCTGATCCTGGAAGATGACGTTTGGCTGGAAGAAGACTTTAAGCTGAAAGTGCGAAAGCTACTGAAAGCCGAAGCACCCTGTGACTGGCAGGTGAGACAAAGCAAAGCAGAGAGACGGGTTGCCTGTTCATCACAGGTCAGAGCTTGGAACCCATTGACAAGCAGGTAGTTGATTCCTACCCTTTTGAAGCAACCAAATTCACTCTCATGTGGACCCTAATTTAGGGCCTTTGATGGGTATGGTATACCCAGAGAGTATGCCCACTCCATGTACCCCTCCTTTCTTCCTCTTCAGCTCCTAAGCAGATGCCAATCACCGCGCGGCGTTCGCTGCCCATCACCAGCAGGTGATCTCCCTGCGCTCGCAATGTCCCTATGGGACGTGCGTGAGTCCGCACCTGACGCGTGTTCAGCCCGATGGCAACGAACCGGAAGAGATGTGCAGGCGTCGTAGGGGACGGGCTTCCTGCAGACCAAAAACGGCGCTTCGCCGAGGAATTGAAGGGAAGGTCGGAGAATTCGTTCTTCCCAAGGATTGTTCTGTTAACTTCTGGCAATTGACTCCTAAATGTCTTCCATGGAGAGTGGATCCGTAAATCCCTGCTCCCAGGTCCATAGCTTGACTGTTCACTGGTTGGAGGCCGCTCTTAGGTCCGACCCCGCTACCCAACGCAGATCGACCGGGAAAGATCGGCCGTGTCAGAGTTGGATCGTGGTGTATTTAGATGAAGAAAAGGAGCTCGAATTCAGGATAGCCCTGGCCTCCCACCTAGCGATGGCCTCTACCTCGAATTAAACATGAAATGCTGTTGCTGTCGCGGACCTGGACATTTGTTTGGCACACATGGCGCACATGTGGATGAAATGGCCATCGAAAAGCTTGAAGATCCGGGGTCAAGTTTTGAGATCCAGTGCGGGGAGTGTTCGGCAATCCGCGGTTGAGATCGGCAACAGATGGTCAAGATCGGTGGCGCGGAAAGCCTTTTTTTCTGCAGTTCTTCGGTCCATGATCCGTCCCTTAGTGCGATCAGCAGCCCACAGCGACACCTATTGGTGAGCAAGCTTGACCGGCTTCGCGGTTCCAACAGCCCTCTCTATCGACTCGGCGGGCGAACATCCAATGGTGTTTTTGTGTCCACCACCGAATTGGGTACAGTTGATGGACAACCATGCAGACACCAAACATGATTACTATCATTTTGTGCCTCTCATGGCTTGTGCGTGGAAAACCTGGATCTTGGCGTCTTCTCCACAAAGTGGGCTCGGTCGGTCGCCCGTCGCGAGACATGGGGTGAACTACGGCTTCTACGCGATGCTCTACCAAGCCGATGCCTTGATCTTTGTGGCTAATGCTCTGCATCAGGACGAATCAGTCCGGAGGAAGGTCGACGCGCTTTCTCTTCCATCGCTCTTAAGGGTGAAGGCCATAGCTATTAGGTTGGAGACCATCGCTATTAGGTTGGAGGCCATTGCTAGTAGGGTGGAGGCCATCGCTATTAGGTTGGAGGCCATTGCTATTAGGTTGGAGGCCATCGCTATTAGGTTGGAGGCCATTGCACCTGTGTTGGAGACCATTGCTATTAGGTTGGAGGCCATCTCTCTTAGGTTGGAGGCCATCGCTATTTGGTTGGAGGCCATCGCTATTTGGTTGGAGGCCATCGCTATTAAGTTGGATGCCATCGCTATTAGGTTGGAGGCCATCGCTCTTAGGTTGGATGCCATCGCTATTAGGTTGGAGGCCATCGCTATTAGGT